GCAGATGCAGATGCAGATGCAGGATGGAGCATGCAGCTATCCGAACTTCAACACCCACTCGAGAGATCAAGAGCCACACAACCAACAGCCAACAACCAACACCAACACCACATTTCACATAGCTACCTACTGACCTGACCTATCTACCTACCCAGCTACCCTACCATCCCCATCCCCATCCCCATCCATTCCCATTTCTCATCCTTGCGTACCTACCTACCTATCCAGGCGAGCCAGGTACTTTATCCCTACCTCAGGAGAGCTGTTACGCCATACGGTGCCACGAACAGCCCCTCTTCCTCGGTCGGCCATTGACTTACTCTTGGGCATACTCGGAGTCAAATGAGTACTACCTATCTGCCTACCACCACCGCCGCCGCCGAAGTCATCGAGTCCGTTTTCTTGTCTCTTTCTAATTTCCTATCCTGGCATTTCCCACCGGAATAAAACGACCAGACGACGCCCGACGCTTTTCCGTTTTGCTGGTGAAGAGTCTCCACAGCCAAGGTGCGCCGTTCTTCGATCCCCGCTAGCTCCTAGCTCTCGTACCAGCACGCCCACAATCGCCACTAGCCTGAGAAGTTCCCCCCCCGAAACGAAACAAGAATATCGACGACACTGCTGCTGCTGCTGCTCCCGTTGTAGAAGAGACAAAGCCCCTTCTTGCATACCTGCATAGCATACTGTACCTATCTGTGTTTGCTCCTATTCTCGCTATCTGCCGCCTCAAGTATTGTCTTGGGAGCCCAGTCCACAACTGATCTGGGGCCCGTACTACATATCCGCCTTCTATTCAGCTTTCGACCAACCCTGTCGAACTCAGATCCATGCCCTGGGATCGTCGGCTGAACTGCCACAGATAGACAGGAACCTGCACGCAGCCGCACTGCCTGCCCCAGTCCTCCTCGTGCTCGTCCCTCGTGCTGGTGCTCGATATTCTTTTCGACCCCGCCCTACCTCTACCTCTACCTCTACCTCGATCTCAACTTCAACCTCAACCTCAGCCTCCTCCAGTATCCCACACATTGTCGTCGCCCGGGTGCACATAACGCCCGCCTTCCCATCTCAATCGGCAACCCAAGTCGACTCCTCTCACATCAACCAAGCCGATGCGATCGCTGTTGAGGCAGTGTACCACGTGCCTACTCAACATCAAGATAGACGTCACCACGGCTCCTGCTAGAGCACAGACAAGCGGCGTCTACAGATGTGGTGGCCGACATGAATAATTTCTTTGGATCACAGCTCCCTCCGGAGGAGCTGCAGCGCCAGCTGACCGCCGAGCGCCAGCGCCAGGCCGTGCAGAGGAGAGGCATGTCAATGACCATGCCCGTTACCACGCCGCATGGAGTTCCATCCGTGTCCGGGATGGGGGACACGCCGATGATGGGAGGAGACTCCATCGACGACATCATTATCGATAACACCCACACGCTTCACAGACGACGGAGCGTACCGCAACCCTTTACGGGAAATATGGGCCAGGACGATTCCGACAGGAGGTTGTCCATGATGGAGTTTGGCAACCATGACGACCTGAGAGACTTCCGATTCGGAAACATCGACACCTCCCCGACCAGCGCCGACATGAGTGGCAGTTTTGGCAACATGGGCTCAGCGATGGGCATGTCTGGAGTCAGTGGAGCCTTTTCGCAGCCGGATCTGCTGGCCATGTCCGATGCGACGGATTTTTCCAACATCGCCCCTGATGTGATGGGCAATATGATGGCTTTCTCTAACCTGAACATGGGGCAGCTGCGGTCCGACAATTCGGGTTTGGATATGTTTACAAACCCCAATATGAGCAACCAGTTCACTGGCAGCTCGATGGACACGGATTTTTCCATGGGAATGAAGCCACTTAGCCATTCCCTTGGGCCTTCTCCCATTCAGCGGGCTCCACTGGCCATTGACACCACGAATGACGACATGATGGGAGTCAGTCAGCCATTTAGTGCTGTGGACGGCTCTGCAACACAACCCCAGCCAAGCATGCCTCCAAATCCCTTTCCGCCCAGCCTTGTGTCACAAGTATCTCAAGATGCCGCCAGCACCGCTTCCTTTCAGTCGCCCGTGTCTCCCATATCTCAGTCCGTTTCTCAGATTAGCACAGCTCGTCCCAGCATCGCTCCGGACACACCGGCTACAGTACCCGCGCCATCATCCGGCGCACCCACCCCCGCCGATATCAAGCCCGAGAAGACTGTGTATTCGAAGAGCGGCTTCGACATGATCCGGGCGCTGTATTATGTGGCCACCAGGCCTAATCCTGAAGTACAACTAGGAGCAGTCGACATGTCTTGCGCGTTTGTGGTCTGCGATGTCACGATGAACGACTGCCCAATTATATACGTATCAGATAATTTCCAAAACCTAACCGGATACGTCCGGCATGAGATTCAAGGGAAAAACTGCCGGTTCCTTCAAGCACCCACGGGCCTCGTCGAAGCGGGAACCAAGAGAGAGTTCGTCGACAACAGTGCGGTATACAACCTAAAGAAGAAGATACAGGAGGGTAAGGAAGTCCAGCAGAGCTTAATCAACTATAGGAAAGGTGGCAAGCCGTTCCTTAACCTCCTCACTATGATTCCTATTCCGTGGGACACCAAAGAAATTAGATACTTCATTGGGTTCCAGATCGATCTTGTCGAATGTCCTGACGCTATTGCGGGACAGGAGATCGGTGGTGGAGTTCAGGTTAATTACAATCATAGCGATATTGGCCAATACATATGGACACCACCGAACGCTAACCAGTGGGAGTCGGATAATGGAGGACAGACGCTTGGAGTGGATGATGTCTCAACACTCCTCCAGCAATTCAATCCGAATGGCGTTACATCTGACTGGCACAGGCAGTCTTGGGACAAGATGCTGCTGGAGAACACGGATGATGTTGTCCATGTACTGTCCCTCAAAGGACTCTTTTTATACCTGTCTCCGTCATGCAGGAGGATGCTGGAGTATGATACAAACGACCTCGTTGGCCAGCCCTTATCATCCATATGCCACCCATCCGATATTGTTCCCGTAACCCGAGAATTGAAGGACGCCGTTGTTGGGAACGGGGTCAACATCGTTTTTAGGATCAGACGCAAGCAGAGTGGTTACACTTGGTTCGAAAGCCATGGGTCGTTGTTTGTTGATCAAGGCAAGGGCCGAAAATGCATCATCCTAGTCGGGCGGAAACGCCCCGTGTTTGCCCTCAGTAGGAGAGATCTTGAGTACAGCGGTGGCATCGGCGACAGCGAGCTATGGACGAAAATGTCGACCTCTGGAATGTTTTTATTTGTTTCATCGAACGTTCGATCACTGCTCGATCTACAGCCGGAGAATCTTGAAGGGACTAGCATCCAGGATCTTATGAGGAAGGAGTCGCGTGCCGAGTTTGGGCGCTCAATAGAGAAGGCCAGGCGCGGGAAGATTGTCATTTGCAAGCACGAAGTCCAGAACAGAAGAGGACAAGTTCTACAGGCCCAGACTGTGCTTTACCCCGGCGACGCCTCTGTGGGACAGAAGCCTACGTTTCTCCTTGCGCAGACGAAACTTCTGAAAGCATCGAGCCGTGCGATTGCCCCGGCGACCTCGAGCGCGAAATCCGTCGCTTCATCTACGAATGGTCGCTTTGAAGACCAGATACCCTCGAACATGGGCGTGGTAACCACTGCTTCTCACAATAATAGGCCAGACATGAGCCAAGATGGTACAACCATATCGGGCATCCCAGGAGGTGGGATGACTTTAGGCACACAGGATGCTGCTCTAGCATCCGACGATAATATTTTCGACGAGCTGAAGACGACGCGTTGCACAAGTTGGCAATATGAGCTCCGACAGATGGAGAAAGTCAACCGGTTGTTGGCAGAGGAGCTGGGTCAGCTGCTCAGCAACAAGAAGAAGCGAAAAAGAAGAAAGGGCGTTGGCAACGTTGTGAGAGACTGCGCCAACTGTCACACACGGAACACTCCAGAGTGGCGTAGAGGGCCTAGTGGACAGAGAGACCTTTGCAACAGCTGTGGTTTAAGGTGGGCGAAACAGGTAAGTTGTTGGCCGCTTGTGGTAGGAGAACTTGGTCAGTAATATCTTGATTTTAGACTGGTCGTGTGTCACCGCGTACATCGTCCCGCGGCGGAGGTCATAATGGAGATTCTGCCAGCAAAAAGTCAACCTCACCCAATCATTCGTCTCCTCTGCACCGCGAAGTCACCACCAGCACTGATGCCACCGGTGACACTGAAATGACGCCAGTCGACGACAATCGAAGGTCATCTAGTTCAGGCAGCACCGGCAATGGTAGCGCCACTGCCACGCCGTCAGGAGCTAAGGGGCACTCCGTACCGCCTCAGAGCCAGCCTCTACTTGCAGGTGGCAGCGGGCTGGGAGGCATGGGCATGGGAATGACAGCCATCAGCGAGGAGAGGGAGTTTGCCCCCTAAATAGTCCTCTCCTCGCAGCTTCTTCGTCTGTTTCGACTCCGCAATGCCGGTTTCTCTTTTTCCTGACATGACCTCCCGTTTGAGATACCACTTCACCTTTTTTCGATGACTTCATCATTCATGTCTTTGCGATTGGTAGACTATGGGATGGGCAATACTTCATTTTTTTTTTTAAAGAACACAAAAATCAGTCGTGTACAAACAACATAAATGTACGTGGCTTTTATTCTATGTTCTATTTTAGGGTTCGGGAAACTGGATGCAGATACCATACACGGGGCGTTATAGGGCTTTGTGTTACCCTGGCGTTGGGTTACTTCTTATTCTGATCTATCTATCTATCTACAAGTGGGCTGGGTGGCGGTTGTGCAAGAAACAGAGGTTGACTGAAGAGTCCCTCGGGAGAGAACAGAACGTTCATGTATGAGAAACGCTGGTGAGCATCGGGGATGACGAGCAGAGGAGATCAGAAATCTGCCGGGCGCTTCAATTGTGGATTGCTGGGTGTTTCTCGCCTTTGCGATCGAAGTACACCCGCAGGCTATTGGATATGCTCAAACCGAGCAAGTGTGCCGACTCCGTTGTTCCCAGACAATGTAACGGATAGAAATGCGAATGAATCAAGATGATAAGGCAACAATAACTGTTGTCCATCGTTCCCTCCCTCTCTCGTGATAGTGCTAACATAACATATCATATCATGCCATGCATGTCCAAGCCCACTCATCGCAGGAGGGCCCAGCTACATCAGGATTGGCTATCATCCTCAACACATCCCCCAGCACTACAGGTTGGACTGTTTCTATTTCAGGACGCAGACTCGGCCATGGGACAGCGCCGCTGCCACGCCCAACGAACGGCGTGGTCCACTCCGCCAGGGTAATAGATGTCAGTCCGCCAAAAGCACCACTACCTCCTCAACAAGGCATTACTACCTATGTAGGAGTACATGGACCCCATAGTAATAAGCAGTATATTCGAGAGCTGGATGAGTATACCCACTCTCAGCATTGAGTATCTTCACCCTTTAGGAATTAACGTCCATTACCCTGGCGGAGGAGTAATTTGACGGACGGCCCGCCGCTCTCCTGAAAGAACAGCAGCGACTCGCTTATTGCAGACAATATCAAGAGACTCCACAAACTTGCCCCCAAGTGCCAACCCTTACCCGCACTTTTTCGAGTGGGATAAATCATTTTTCTTCTCCCCCCCCGAAGACCGCTTGAATCCGTGAGGTATGGATCATCATGTCCTAGCTATGAGTAAGACCCAGCCAAGCACACCTCTTGCGCTCCATCTTTCCACATGTGCTGTCTCCTCGTGGCATCCAAGGTGGTTCCTAGACCCCCCCTGTCTTGACGCTCGCCGTGGAGATCGATTCCAACTCCCTGCGCTGCTCTCACTCATCCCGGAGGAGAGGAGCCCTTGTCGACCGCCTCGCATTTGGCTTGATCAAAGTTCCCACTGGCGGCGAACCCTCCCTCCCGTAGCCTTGCCGCTCTGGTGTGGAGTTCTCTCTTTCCTTGGTATGCCTCTGTACAGTGTTGATTCTGCATGTCGTCCGCGTTCAGCTTCTGGTGCCCTCCGGAGCCAGTGCGACTGGCCCAAGGGGAACAACATCTGCAGGGTACTGGACGAAATCAAGTTATGATGCGCTATTTTGAGGTATACGACCCCTGGTTTACTTCGGCTATTTTTTTGCATACGTTCAGGAGCAACATGACGGACCTTCTCGGGAGACCCGCAAGTTGTTTGCTGCGTTTGTGCCGGGTTCCTCCTCTCGGCCATGAGAAGATCCTCTCATGAAGTACTGGGTTGAGAAGACAAGAAAGCTTAGATGACGGTTATCTCCTGTTGCGTCGCGCCGTCATCAAAGAGCTCGATGTGTCACGGGTTATCCCTCCAAGATGATGTCCCAGAGCACTCCGGCCCGCCCGTATTTGTTTCGGGAATGTTGAATATGTTGCAGGAACATGCCTAACTTCACGTGTGCGTTGACAGGAGTATCATACAGATGAGCGTTGTAGAGATCAATGCAGAATAGCTGCTTCTCATCTTCTCGTGATGGAAAGCCGTCAGGATCGTCAGAGAGAATAGGTTCCCCTCCGTGGGATATTCTTTCATCTCAGACACATTATGACCTGAGAGAAAGAAACGGCGTAGAGAACGTCCTTGGGCGTCAATTGGTGTGTAAATCGCTCGTATATCGACCTTCACAACACCAGAGTGCCATCCATGACTTACCCGGTCTCGCTCTTAATGAGGACGTGCAGGAGACGATCAGAATGTCGTTGTCATGGCAGGGGTTGCACGGGCGAGTCTCTGGCTTGATCCCTCTCCCTGCTCTCAGTACAGATGCCCTGGGCCAACGAGGTACGCGGTATGTAACTGGGCGCTTTGATGTCAGGCATATCTCCTACGCGATGATCAAGCACGACTGCCACCCGTTCGCTGTCCATTTCTCTAGAAGTGGCCCATATCTCCTGTCAAAAGAATTCTCATGTATATATCTTGGAAAGCAGCCTCGTAGACAGGTTTGTTCGAACCTCTCCCTCTAGATCACCTCCTGAGGTCTGGTGAGGGTGTGATCGTCTCATTCTTGAACAACTACTGCCACAAACACAATGAGAAGGAGCATAACCTTTTCAGCGAACAATTGCATTCTAAGATCTCATACCACGCGAAGTTCTTCGAGAAGGCAGGAGCAGGAAACTTTACCGACTATCAATCAGAGTTACGGGCACTTTTCAATTTACTAGTCTTTTCCATGTTCTTGTGATGCAGGAGAAGTATCCAGTGCTCATCTTGTTCATTTTTGCTAAAACTCTGCAAAATAGCTTGGCTCCTAGCCTCGCGGGCAGCGTGAACTCTCATCGGCCCACCTTGTGCGAATACATCTGGTTTCACTCGAAGCATTCACTCTGAGCTGGGCCGTCCTGAGCAACAAGTTCGGGTTCGATGGCTACTTGAATTGATTGCTGAGAACAAACGGTGATGTCGATGTCTTATGTGTCGCCCATCTCATGTTTATAGAGTTCCAAGCTTTTGGTCAAGGTTGTCAATCTGACATGCCCTCAGACATTGTTAACTATACTGCTGAAGTAAAAGACAATTCACAAACCAACGCCAGTCATTGACAACCAAATTCAATTGCTAGTAGCTTCAACTCGCACTGGAAAATATCAAATGGCGGTCGATTCTGCTGAGATGCGGTCAAGCTTAGAGCTACCCCTAGCTATCCCCAGGGGCGTGTGTGCAAACGAATCGCACATGGCAGACAGATAATCCGGCGATCACACGTTGATCACTGCATGTTTATAAAAATAGAAGCTCCTCGCTCCACAAACGTACGTCCTAAATTGTGGTTGTGTGTGCTGTCATCTCAAAAAGCCAAGATGAAACGCAATTGACTTCAGGTGGCACATCATTTGGCACACTTGTGCTCGCGCGTAGACACCAGCCACTTGGGAATTACCGGGGAAAGCTGATTGAACCTTTTCATCCCAAAGTCGGTCATCCCATGCGTGAGACGCTCGAATCGTGACCTGCAGAGGCTTTCTTCATACGGGAGGGCAAAATGAGATAAGCTCGGCGATCGCCGTGATGACGAGAACGGCTATTGATCCTGATCGCAAGGAAGTTGGGAAAGAGGTTCGAACTTTCGAGCCAGGCGTTCTGTGTATTTGCTTGTGGGGGCCTAACGATCATTGCACAAAGAGACCTATGGACATCTCTGCATTGAAGAGCAGAGAGGGGATACGCGCTAGAAGCAGACGTGCCATGTTTCCAGAAGGAAAAGAAACTAATTAACCCACTTTGAGCGTCTCGTCTGACGGGGTTTGCAGATTCATGGTGGTATCGACCAGGGGCGGCATAGCACCGCAACATCCCAGACTCCCAGACTCCAAGGTCCAGAAGGGAAACATGAGCCAGCGATCTGAATGTCCGTCCCACTTATCACGTCTCGAAGCGTACGCGGTCTGCGTTCGCGCCCCGCCGTGAGAACCCATCAAAACTTTAAAGTCCAGGGGTTTGAAGAGCAAGATGGGTTTGATTGTGCCGACCCCGACTTTTGCTCGACGGTTGCGCCGGCCGTCTGGGTCTCCCCTTGTTCATCTCCGCAATAGAGCCGATTATGCGCTCGCCGGAGTGGTCCTGATCTGCTGTTGCGACAGCTGTCGATGGCCTGTAAGGTTGCATTTCAGTCCCTTGGCAGCGCGGATGGGTCTGCTTGACAGCGCAACGACAGACGGAAAAGCTGCACTTCGCCCTGCTTGACCGGCCCTGTTCGCACAAGCTCGTGCCGACAGACTGCTCTGCGTAGCAGGGGGACTTTTAGAGCTGACGTCAAAAACACGTTTCATCTGTTCTCGAGGCGATTTTGTTTCGAGGAGATCTTTGCAGAGCCCCGTGGTAAGCAAGCAAGCAAGCGGCATTGGACACATCGGGTATGGATTGACGAGATGCGGCTGTAGGTATTAATTGGCATGATCCATGGCGGTGGGAAGGGAGGAGTCGCGGCGAGAATCCAGCCAGTGCCAACGAAGGAAATCCGGCTGCCTTGCGAGGACTGCAGTCGCGTGTCACTAGCCCTGGCCTAGGCAGGCTATAGCAGGTGAAGGAGTAATTAATTGTCTGCTGCGTGTGTGCGTATGGATGTAAATAGCACACAAACAACCAACGATCCGAGGTGCCTTTCATGAAACGAGGCGTCGGCGAGGGAGTGAGAAGTGAGGAGGAAGAGGCAAACGTGAAACATCGTCGGGTCCTGGTCAAGCCACAGACAACGATGATTGATGGGGAAGAGCTACAGGTGAGCAGCTGAAGCAGGGAAGCGACGATGCACATGCATGTTTGTGGACTTTCTACTGCGTATAGGTTAGGTAGTATCTGCAGTGCCGGCTGACAGGAGGTGCGACTGCCGTGTGAGATTATGTGTGTGCGTGCAGCGTGTTTGTCGGGTGTGAGAGCGACAGACAACGCTGATATCGCATCGATCA